GTTCTTGAATGAAAATATAGTTTGATGTATGAAATGGAATGATGTGATATGATGGTGGAATGGGGAGAAAAGTGATTGTAATATGGACGTCAGAATGGTTAATAGATGTAATTGTAATACAGGTATTGTGGTACATCTAAAAGGTGTATTCATATAATGCATGTATTGTAATACACCAAGTCATGTGGTCAAGACTCACGTATTATGAGGGTATGAAAAAGAATGAGAAATGTTAGTGGTGAGTTTAGATAGCTACAGAGATACACTAGAGGTATAAAGTCCGGAGAAGATTTGGAAAATCTTAGGGAAATAAGGGTGGTAAATGCTAAGTGTGAATAAGTGCACAATGATTTGTTGAAAGTGAAAGCATTCACAGGCCACACTTATTTCTTGACGAGACTCCTGACTATACCTTTGCTAAAAGGGGCCGGGTCGGCACATGTGTATTCGTATTGCTGTGGCTAACCAGCGGCTATTTGTGAAGTCCTCAAGGGATCCCAGGGGCATTAAATATGAAAGTGAAATTAATGTGAAAGTATGATGTATATGAAGTAACATAGAAATTATATGATTATAATATATGCATTGTAACATATCGGTTAATGTTGTTATGATATATGTGTTGTAATACATCGACGGGTGCAATTAGGACACATGTATTGTGACATATTGATCGACGTGGGATAATACATGTATTGTGATGTACAGATTAGTAGAAAGATGCATGTAATGACAGTTTGCATATGTGATTGATTGTTTGTCTTGCGTGTACTTCGTTGAGATAGTGAATTGTATGATTGAGTGCCATTGTTAATTCAATCCATGTTAGACAATATTTTTAGTAATACACACACACACACACACACATATATATATATATGTATGTGTGTGTGTGTGTGTGTGTGTGTGTGTGTGTGATTATCTTGCTTATGTCAAACAAGAGATTTAGTGGGACGGGAGATACTCACCCTTACTAATATTTTTAGGTAATGAAAGTGAAGGGATAAAGATGTTTGACTCGTCTTAAGATCATAATCTAAGGGTATTGGAAGGAAGACTGCTTTGTAGGAACTGAGATAATTTGAGAAATTTGCATTATTTTATCTAATAGTATTTCATGTTGACCAAATCTTGTAAATGATTTTAAATGTCAAATTTTAGAATTTATAATATTTGGACCAATTTCTAAATTTTAAAATTTGTAATGAATACTTTAGAAATGTCTTTAGTGGAAATTCTAAATTTATATGTAGTCAATGTGTATCAAATAATTTGTTAGAGGTAAAGTTAAGTTTTATTTATTACTTTAAAGTTTCAAAATTATTCCCTTAGAAGTTTTAAATCAATTTAGAATTTTATGAAACCTTCATATGAAAAAATATATAAATTTTTGTCTTATTTCTATTCTTAAATCCATGAATAAAAATAAAATTATTTTTTTTATCTCGTTATAAAAATTTATTTATTTTGAATGAAGAAAATGAGGATGTTGCAATAATGATATTACATGATCACAAGTTACAGACAAAACAAAAGTTCTTGTACCATGAAGAATCATATACAAAATTTTAAAGTTGCACCAAAACAACAAAATCCTACTAACAATAATACATAACATAGTTACTAAGCTACACGTCCTTCATTCTCTTAGTGTGACAAAACAAATTCTACTCTATACATTTCTTCACTAAAAGAGGTCATCCACAGAGATATCATTTTCTTGAGTCTAGGAAATCATTGGTTTTTGGATATTGGCTTGTTGTTTCCACTTGCACCTCTATTTCTTTATGGTGCAAACTAAAAAATATTTGTTGAATGTCCTGTTTTTCACAATGGCCGCACATTACAGGTAGTCGCATACAATTTCTTACCATATGAGATTCTCTCACTGAAAACATTTTATTGGATCCAAGGGGTCATTGTTTTTAAAAGTATGTTTCTTGCTTTTATTGGTGCTTTCATTTTTCTAAGATGCAGACCGACAAACATCAGTGCCCTTTGTTTCCACAATGGTCATATATCAAAAGCGACATAGGGTAGTCTTTGACCACGTGAGGTCCCTTCCATTTCCTTTCTCCTCTTTCCTCCTCCCACTGCAACTCCTTCTTCCTCCTCTCATTGTTGCAATTGTTTTTTTATAATTAATATCAAAATAAATGAATCTTCGTAGTTTTAGTGTAATTCATTATTTATCCTCACTCTATACTTTTGTATAATTGTAAAAAAAAAAAAGAAAATTCAAATTTTTATTTTTACATATTTCCTTTTAATTAAAGTTACATATTTCCTCTCATTGTTGCAATTGTTTTTTTATAATTAATATCAAAATAAATGAATCTTCGTAGTTTTAGTGTAATTCATTATTTATCCTCACTCTATACTTTTATATAATTGTAAAAAAAAAAAGAAAATTCAAATTTTTATTTTTACATATTTCCTTTTTATTAAAGTTACATTCATTATTTATTACAGTAATAGTAATAAATAGGAGAAAAAAAAAGAGTTTATTTTTTATTAGGAATAGGAATTTGGTTATTGGTCCATTTTCAGTTTGTACTTAGTCCTTCTTCTTCCTCTCGCTATTGCAGCTCCTCTACCCTTTCCCTCCAAACCCACCAACCTTGTCTCTCCTTTCTACAACTCACATTTTTCCCTCCCGTAGCCCTTTCCCTTCCCTTTCCTACTTTTGTAGCTTCCTCACTCTTTCCTCCGCAACCCACCAACTCGCAGCTCCTATTTCCCCTTCCCGCAGCCCCTTTCCGTAGCTTCCTTTCTCCCCTCCCACAACCTCCCTTCTCTCCCTCTTATTCCCCTTCAATTATCCTAAGCCCTCCTCCTTTACTCTTGTTCTTTTTCTCTCATAAGTTTTAATATTGCAAATCTCTCAAGCCCTTTAACTCTCTTTCTCGTGTGTACTTATCCCAAGTCTTATATTTCATGGATTAGAAATTAAAAACTTGAATTAAATGATTGATAATTGAGTATAGATTGGTACTTTGCTAATTTATTATGTAAAAAAAAAAATTGTGGAAGGAGAGAAGAGGAAGGAGGAGCTATAGTGGGAGGAGGAAATAGGAGAGGAAAAGGGGAAGTGGGGAGTCAACGCTACCTAGACAAATCTCGTTATATTTAAATAAAAAAATTCCAAGTTAGATTAAATAAATGGAGTTAGGTCATCTCAACACTACTTAGGACATCTCTGTTAGGCTGTACAATAGAACTAACGGAAAGGAATAACTTGGAAAAAAATAAAACTTTATGGACTAAATTGAATTTAAAAAACTTAAAGGACTAAAATAAATTTTACCATAAAGTTAAGAGATGAAAAGACTAATTTTATCTATAAAAATATATTCACTAATAAAGTAAAACATAAAAATTAATTTTTTGATATTTTTGATAGAAAATTTTATTTACTATTTTATATGTTTAACTAGACTAATACAATTTATATATTAGATGATTGATATGATATTGAATTTTTAAAAAAAAATTATATATAACACATACAAAATAATTTTCACACAAATATTTTTTAAATAAAATTATATTAATATTTAAATCATAAAGTGAATAATAAATAATAAACATATTATAAATATTTTATAAATTTTACAATTACCTAATATTAAGTAGGCTTATTGTTTATTGATAATATTTTAATTTTAGTTTTTATATTTTAATTTAAAATAATATTTTTCTATGCAACATGTGCATTACAAGTACAACTATAATTTATTGAATTTAAATACTATTATTCTTATCATTTATTTATATTCAAAGAAATTTTTAAAAAGATACAAAATATAAAAATATTGTTAATTCTTATTTTTATTTATTTTACTGAGTTTATTATATATTTTTATTATAATTTATCTGTTAAATAATATTTCTTTGGATAAAAGAGTATAATTTTTTTGATATATACATATATTTTTTCATTACAATATTTCATAGTAATATTCTTTCTTTTAAAATTTATGTACATTAAAAATATTTAATTCATTAAAATTATTTTTCAAATAAAATTTTATTTTTGACCAAATACTTTGATATAATACAAGGTTAAAAATACACACACACGCACACACACACACACACACACATATATATATATATATATATATATATATATATTGATTAAGTTATATTATTTCAATGAAATTCATTATTTTGTTTTAAATTTCAGATTCAAAAACTAAAAAAAAAAATGTATTATGTGTCCACTCATTATTGTTGTTTAGTACTTGGCATATATACATCTCGTCATTAACCAATTCAATACGTTGTTGTTCGATCAGATCTTACGCGAGACAGGATCATCATTTACAAATTATATGTGTTTAATTTCCTTTATAGTTTTTAAGTACTTTAGTTTATAAAGTTGTTGTATTAAGATATACGAAATAATTTTGATCTTTAAATATTTGTTTTATATTTATGTTTAAACTTTATTTAATAACTACACATTAAATTTTTTTATTATTATACTACTTATGTAAAATTATACAAACATAATTTTTTTATAAGTATTTTTTTTAGATAAGTACACAATAAATATGGATGTGAATATTAAAATACTTAAAAAATATAGTTACTGTTTACACAAGTATGGAGATCTTAAATAACTCTAACTATTACCATTCCTAGCTAAATGCCATAATCAAGGCAGAACCTCATGATAACTCATTTCCGTGAGTCTTATTTTAAAAAAATAATTTAACTAGTTTGACCGAGCTAGAATATCTAATTGAGAGATCATATAAAAAGAATAAATTAACACTAATTTTACTTTTAAAAATTGTAAAGGTTGATAAATTTAATTTTTTATTTTATAAAAATTATTTTAATCTTTAATTTTTTTTAACAAAATTATTTCTTTTAGCAGTTTTATATTAAAATTAAAATAAATGTCATTTTATCTAATTAAAAAATAAAATGAAAATTTTTGAAAATTAAAATAATAATATTTACGCTAATCATTGTAAGTGAGATGATTCACATGCTTTTATTTTCTTTGTAAATCAGATTTGAGATACAGAGAGAAAGAGAGAAAGTGAAGGTGTTAGCTGCAATGGCGAAAAAGGCCGTTCTGATCGGAATCAACTACCCAGGAACGAAAGCGGAGCTACGAGGGTGCATAAACGACGTGTGGAAGATGCACAAGTGCCTCGTCGAACGATACGGCTTTTCCGAAGATGACATCACCGTTTTGATCGACACGGACAGCTCTTACACGGAGCCAACTGGCAAGAACATTCGGTCAGCGTTGAGTAGGTTGGTGCGATCGGCGGAGGCAGGTGACGTGCTGTTCGTTCATTACAGTGGTCACGGTACTCGCCTTCCCGCGGAAACCGGAGAGGATGACGACACTGGTTACGATGAATGCATTGTTCCTTCTGATATGAACCTCATCACTGGTTGTTACCTTAATTCTTTTCTTTTTTCTTTTGTATGTGTGTGAGAGAGAAAGATCTGTTTCTTTTTGTTGTTATTATCGGCGTTTTTTGTTTGGTTTGGTGACTTGTTATTTATTTGTTTGTTTTTGGTTTGATCTTCTGAGATCAAGAAAAGGCTGAACTTGATCCGGATTGTAAACGTGTGAATTGTTTGTTTTTGGTTTGTGGTGGACGTTAAATAAGTGACGCTATAAAAAAATAATAATGAAAGAGGGAGATACAAAACTTGCTTATGACCTTGAGAGGATTGGATCTGGAGTGAGAATAGTATAGATTTGTTAAACCATTTCAGTAAATGTTTGATTTGATAAGCTGTTAATGGTGAGAAATACGCCAAATTAGTCTTTGAAACTACGAGCTGTGGATAATTTGGTTTCTAAAATTGCCAAAAAGATGATGTCGTTTTAGATCTTCAAATTACTGAACATTGGTTATTTTAATTTTTATTTCATGCTTTTAAGGACTGTAAAAGACCATCTGTGTTATGGTATTTGTAATTTCATAGATTACTTTAGTGGGTTAGATTGTTAATTATCTTTTACTTTATAATGGATGGGTGTAACATTTGTGGTCTCTTTTGGTCTATTTGGCGTAACGTATTAAAAAAGTGACGTTAAAATAAACAGGGATCTGATTTATCAGTAAATTGGTGTTGAAAACTTAACCTTGATTTATCCATTCTGTTTGTTTGAGTGATTCAGATGTTTATAACAACTTAACTCGAAAAGTAGTATTAGTATTTTATGTGGTCTTTGGATAGGCATGATTTTTGTGTGATGTAATAAACTATTTGTTTATGTCTGTGCGAACAGACGATGACTTCGGTGAATTTGTTGAAAACTGATTCTTGATTTTTTTCAGAACAATTAATTCTCCTCCTCTTAACCCATCCTTAATTCTGATGTCAATAGCAACTTAATTTGAACATGGTAGAAGTAATTTGGTGTTTTGTTTTACATTGAACACTGTTGCATTGGCATGTCTTTTGTGGAAAGTAACAAACTATTTGTGTATGTTCTGTGAAAGCAGATGATGATTTCAGGGAATTTGTAGATGGGATCCCTAGAGGTTGCAGACTCACAATTGTGTCAGATTCTTGCCACAGTGGTGGCCTAATTGAAGAAGCTAAGGAGCAGATAGGGGAGAGTACAAAGGGGGAAGAGCATCATTCTGGCTCTGGCTTTGGATTGTCAAGCTTTCTACATAGGACTGTGGAAGATGCCATTGAGTCTCGTGGATTTCATGTGCCTTCAGCATTGCACCATCATAGAAGCCGGGACGGTGATGATGGAGCTGGAGATAGGGATATTGAACTTCCACATGGGCATCATTGCTATGTAAAGAATAGGTCATTGCCACTTACTACCCTCATTGATATACTGAAGCAGAAAACTGGGAAAGATGATATAGATGTTGGGAAACTGAGACCTACACTCTTTGATGTTTTTGGGGAAGATGCTAGTCCTAAAGTAAAGAAGTTCATGAATGTTATCTTGAATAAACTCCAGCATGGAAGTGGTGAAGGTGGGGAACAAGGTGGCGGATTATTGGGGTTGGTGGGTGGTCTTGCCCAAGAATTTCTCAAGCAAAAGCTGGATGAGAATGATGAGGGGTATGCAAAGCCTGCCATGGAGACACATGTGGGAAGTAAGCATGAGGCATATGCTGGATCATCCAAACGCAGCCTTCCAGATGGTGGAATTTTGATGAGTGGCTGTCAGACTGACCAAACTTCTGCAGATGCAAGTCCTTCAGGAAATTCTGCAAGTGCTTATGGGGCTTTTAGCAATGCAATTCAAGCTATAATTGAGGACACTGATGGAGCAATCACAAACCAGGAGCTGATTTTGAAGGCAAGAGAGAAGCTGGAGAGGGGTGGTTTCACTCAACGACCTGGACTCTATTGCAGTGATCATCACGTTGATGCTCCTTTTGTGTGTTGATCTGCTCCCATCTGATGCCAGGGAGAAAAGAGAAGAATAATGTGTGTTGTTTATAGTATGTTTGTGTTACTGTATATGTTTGAACAATCAAAATCAGGTTATTATTTTCATACTGCTATGATATAAGATATGGACTATTCTCTCCAACATTTTAGTATTTCTTGAATCTTTGCTGATTGGAGCATTGTTTATACATTACCCTTTGTGCTAGGAGACCAAAATTTCAGAGGAAGATCCATGTCCTAAATCACAGATTTCCGCTTTGAATACATTCGTGTGATATATTTTTTTTAATTTACTAAAAATATATAATGAAGGACATTATTAATTTTTAAATATTATGTACGAATCTTGAGAACAAATCGACACATTAGTGCACATGGTCGAAATATGTTGTCTACGCAAATGAGAAGCAAAATGGGGTTTGCAATAATCAAAAGGTGTTACAAATTATCCTCTCTTTTCTTTTCTTTTTTGTCGTCACGCAATAATTAGCAATTCAAGCAACATTTGTGCGTTAAGATCTTTAGAATGTGATTTTTTATGGTCCATGTTAGAAAGCATCTCGACCTTATCATTTAGATAGTGTCAAACGGGCGAATATATAAGCAAAGAGTAGGGTAGCTTAATGGAAGGGCAAAGGCCGAGGAAAGTAATTTAAACCAATAACGGTATGCATAATCGCTTAAGAACGACACAAGTTACGTAAATATTATTGTAACATCCCAAAATTTTCTATACAATGAAAAGACTTAATTTTATTTATTAAATATTAAATTTGTAAAATTTTGAGTGAAAAGACCAATACATCCGTCATTTGCATAAATTAGATTAAAGATTAATATGGAGGATTAAGACTTGATAATAAAAATTAGATCAATTAGAAAAATTAGAATTGAAATTCTCAAAATACACTCCTTTATACAAGTAAAATTACTAATTGCCTCTAGAATGTGATACCTAAAATATCCCTGTTTAATTGTAATTTTGAGTAACTTGAAGGAATTGTTTTGAGAGAAAACACTGGCTACAGATCCACCAAATTGAACAAAATTAAACCAAGTGCATCTGAAAGTGAAACTAACTATTACTTTTATCTTTAACCAAATAATTGATAGAGATACCACAAAAATTTCACCAAAACCAATTGAATTTTATTCCTTAACCAAGTTTCACAAACTAGTCACCATTCTCGACGTCTACAACCTTATTTGGGCAACAATTGGATGAGATTATTGATTAAAATAAAGCTTGTTTCATATATAAAAGTTTCTTAACTAAATCGTTGAAAATAGATGGCCTTTGCACGTAATTGCAACCAAAGAAAGTCTACAAACCATTCAAGAATAATAGGAAATAAGCTTGTCAATTCAGTGGACTTCGGAAAACAAAAAAATAACTAAAGTAACTAGATTCTCCTTTGTAGTTCAATTCTAACCAAAGTGGAGTTAATTCTATTCCATTTTTCTGACTAAGTAATAATGATTTAGTTCATTTAGCCCATAAATATGAGCTAAAACTGAAATTAGAGTTGTCTATTCAAAATATTTCTTACTTTATTAAATCTTGAAATCAAAACCTTTTCTTGTAAAATAAGGATCTCTTTTTTTCAGGAAGTCCTTACTTTAAGTTCTTGCAATTTTCAATCTTGGAAGTTTTCAACTTTCTCTTCTTCATCCCAAATCACTTTGATTAAGGTAGTGGTGAAGAAAAATTATACAACCTTAATAAATTATCAATGAGTAACAAAAAATGAGATTTTCCTAAAATTCCCAGGTAAAATTAAAATAAAATTCTTGTTAATTTTCTTGATTCTTTTATTATTGTATATATGTTTGTTTCATTTAATTGATGTTTTAGAGGAGCGAACTCTTATTACTTTAATAGAATATCAATAAGTAACAAAAGGATGAAAATTTTTGGAATCTCAACGCTAAAGTAAAATGAAGTTCTTTGTTCATTTACTTAATATCTTATTCTAATTTTTTGATTTTCTTTTGTTTGTATGTTTCTCATTTGATTGCTATGATCACCGTCAAAGACAGTGAATTGATTTCTAGTTAAAGTTCTCTTAGAATTTCATAAGCTAAAAGAATAAGGAAATAATGTTTTGTTCTATTTCTATTACTATTCTAGTTTGTTTGTTAATTTTTTTGGTGTTCCTTATTTCAATCTTATGTTCATAAGTATGTTACTTCTTCAGAATGAATTAATTAGGTAGAGAAAGAAAGACAATAATTAAGAGATTTGTATGACATATATTAAATACAATGCTTAAACTTGATTGTGTTGGTAATATGAAACAAATTGATCATGTTTGTTATCTTTAATATGATTCAAATCTTAACTTGATTTTTTATTTGATTTCATTTTCTTAATTATTTCATTGGTGTGTTAGAATTGCTATTGATTGATCTTATGTGAATTGTAACACCTTAATTTAATTTCTAAATAAATAAATTTTCACAAAAATAGGAATAATAAAAGTTTTCATTCAAACGGTTCCTAATGCATGTGTTCAATAAAGTATTTCAAAATAAGGATGGATTACAAGTTTGAACCAAATTATTGCTATAGAACTAATTTAAATACATTATTTTCAAAAAATAAACTTTTTAAGTCCTATAGCAGTTTCATCTATCCCTTTACTGAATCTGGTGTTGATCGTCTTAGTCACCTGAAAAATAAATGTAAGGGTGAGTACTCTACACTATCACACACCCACAAGCATAGAGACTCACCTTGCATATTTCACACATTTGCGAACATAAATTAAATCATGCATCAACAAACATGAAATAACATTTCTTAACATTCCATTCCAATTCACAAATAGGTGCGCTCACTGCACCATCAAACAATCTACACACAAGTGCGCTTATTACACGTAGCCACGCTCACTGTGGCACTATGACCATAGTTTTCTGATGCCCTCAACCTCAGGGACTTACTCAGCTTCACACCATGGATGATCGCCAGATAACACCTGCTCCACGGATACAATGTGTGTAGTACTGAGCCCCTCAAGCAATAGTATTAGTTAGAGTCCGAGTCAAGAGTGTGTACGGCCTGCGGTGCACCCACACTCATTGTTGATGTCACCACCCCCTCTTCCCCAAGGTATTTTTACTGCCCCATCTTTCACACCCCTAGTGTATCGCTGAACCATTCATAGTTTTTCTAACATTTCAAACACAATCAACATGACATTCTCACATGTTCACCCACATTATCAATTATTTCGTCGTGTTCATTTTCAATTAATGGCATGTTTGCACATATCAACCACATTATACTCAAATACAAAATATTTTCCATCACAATATTATGCCAATCAATTCATTCCATCATACACACTATTCAACATCTATCATGCTATATTGTACACAATCTCACTACAAGCAAACCATTTTTATTAAAACACGTGTTCCAACGTTCTAATCATTCACATTCACAAACAACCACATTAACGAATTCTAGGCATAATGAGATAGGGTAGAGGCTCTCTTACCTCGGGATGAAGACCTAACACAAAATTCAACAATGGAAATGCTCCCCACATGAATTTTGTCCTAAACACATGAAAAATCTCCATGAGAATTTAAGAAAACGAAGAAAGGGATGAAGGAACAAAACCTAGCCAATAAAACTTACTTCCAAATGCTCTAAACATAATTCTAACCTTCAATCTTGCTCCCAAACAGCTTTAGAGGTAGTTTAATAAATGAAAATGAGTTGGGGATCGAGAGAATCGAGAAAGGGATGAAGAGAAAGAGTAGGAAATGAGTTTCCTAAATCCTTCAAATACCCTATGAGTCGCGACACTCTCGCTATAGCGAGACATCTCAGACGATTTTGCACTTTGATTTCTGTAGAATCTCGCTACAGCGAGACTGCACTCAGAAATATACCCTACGCCTAGGGCCTTCTCGTTATAGCAAGAATGCCCCTTCAACCCACACTTAGCCTTTTTTCAATCAGTCCAGCCCATCCATAAGTCAAACATTCTCAATATAGAATCAACATTCACACTCATGCTCGTATACACATATTCATATGCATCCACATCATGACACATATATACACTTATATTCACATCATCATATACATCAAATACACATTCAAATAGTAACCCATATATTCATATTAATAATCAAAATAGTTTACAAAACTCGGAGCGTTACATTAATTGATTGACTTGATTCTTTAAACTTTGTTTGTGATGGAATTTAATGCTTAAAAGGATATGTGATGTGATGAAGTAGCCTAAGTATTGCACTTTTGTGAAGCACTATGTGATGTGTTATATGCATAGGTATTGATCCATTTAAGAGCATGATATCTGGTGTGTGAAAGTCACAATGATGTTGAATTTAGACCTCATCATGAGAATAAATAGTTTTGAGCATTATTCATGGTAATCACTTACTGAAATTTTTAAGGTGATAATGAGTTTAATATGTGATGGTTATAAACTTCATTGTTTCTAAGGTGAGGATTATGTTTTTATGTGATATTATATACTATGATGAAAAAAATGTACTTTTTCTTTACTTAGATTAATGGTATACTTGTTTTTGCTCACCTCTCTATTTTTCTATTTTCATGAAATACTTATTTTGAAACTTCACTATTTCATAATAATTCTTTCTCAATTTCATCCCAACTCTAGTGGTCTTTTTTTTAGGGATATTTAAAAAATATTAATAATCACAATCCCTAAGATAATGCAGTATCATAAATATCATAAATAATATAATGCCTTATAGGCGTCATGTCCATAATGCATGATAAATTATTATAAACCTTCTATATTTTTTATAATTATTTAAATACTATATATAATAAGAAAAAGAAGGTGATTAGGAAAGTCTTAAACATATAATACATATAAAAGATAAATATTCTTCTCTCCACTTAATCCTTTCCTCAATCCCGTAGTACATTAGGAGGAGGGTCGTCATCAAATTTTAAATATGTTGCTGCAAAGGAGAGAGAAAAAGGTACCTCAACTCTAGCTTATGCTTGTATGACTACTGAGTTAACATAAAGGTTATTTATAACAATTATAGTCAATATGATAAAACTTGTAAAGATAATGGTCTGATTGGAGTAATTAGAGTTCCATTCTCCTACTTCCATACTAAGTTTGCATAGGGGTGTTTGGTACATCACTACTCATTTTGCATTCATATACATTTAGTGGACACATCACAAAGTAAAGA